TTGTAAGACTGAATTTTATTGCTATGAACAAAGCTGAACAATCTCATGTTCTGATTTTTAGCTATTGAATTATGAATTTAAACCTTTGGAATTAGTTTAGAACTGGTTAATAACCCAGCAGCAAAGCAAGAAAATGGTCCAGAAATATCTGCTGAAGTAAATTGCAGGCCACATTCACTGAGGAATGTGATCAACTGATCTTTAATTTTGAAGGCATGAAATTAAAGTTGCCTTTCTTACCCAGCATCACTGCTCTAAATGGACAGCAACGAAATAGCAAGAAATTATGTGTATCCTAATGCTAGTATTCGATTATGGTGCATGCAGGTTTCCCCTCTACTGCAAAAGCAAACATCAGTACAGCTCTTTATATTGGCTTTAAAGATTAGTTAGGGGTGTCTGTGCTTTGGCATTTTTAATTCAGTGTTTAGACAGTTGTGTTAGTACGCACTGCACTTTTCACACATACAAGTAAGGAGGTTTTCACCTCAAAGGCCTCAATCTAAATTAAATCACAGTATTGGAAAAGAAAGGCAGAAAAAGCTATCTGAAAAGAAAATACAGTCTTTAGCCCCCTCAAAGATTTCTCCTTTCCCCTTTCCATTCCTGTCAAGTAGATTGGTATTGAAAACCAGCTGAATGATAGATTAGAAGGTTTACCTAAAGAAAAAAAAGCAAGCCCAAAGACAAAGACCATGAGGTTGTTTGGTACGGTACACGCGAAAGGATAGTTCAGAACCAGGACAAAGCTCTCAGGGAAAGCTCTCAGAATTAGAAATTTGATAGTCTTCATAGAAAAAAAAAATAGAAAGATGTAGCACATGAGAAGTCATGGAATTGGCACACATGACACGAGAAGGTGCAGTGTTTGAATGGGATGTAGAAACAGCAAATACAAAGACGAAAAGGAAGGAACTAAGATGATCCTTATTAGAAATACGATTGAGGCCAACAAGGACAAATGTGTCCTATTTCAGGTGACAGACTTTTAAAAGGATGAATATCTGAACAGAGACTATGAAACTGTGAAGATATGAAAGACTTTGGCAATGTTAAAAGAAAAGCAGTATAATTCTTTGAAAGCACACAGGGAGGGGGCACTGGAATCTGCATTCTGCTTGAGCCTGACACAGAATATATATTCTATATATATGTATATATATATTCAGTATATATATTTTGAAGACAGGAGATCAGTAAAACATATACAGTCAATGGCAATCATAAGCTATCACTGTAGCTCCCCTTTCTCTTGGAGCAAAAAAGATGCTCCACAAACACAGCTCAAGACACCTTCAACCGCAGACTTCGAGTACCAGGGGTTAAAACCATCACTCCATCTCTCTGCCACGGGCACTGCTGAGCAAGTCCTCCCACAGCAGGGCTTCCCGTGCCAAGCTGCCCAGGCAGAACACAAGGACAAATGTGCTCAACATGCACATGTGGATTGGCATTAGTCACTTCTGCAGTTAATTTTACTTATCAGCAAGTAAATCAATTAACAAAATTTTAAAAATGCAGCCCATGGACCTAACTCGGCATAAATCTAGCTGAGAACAGAAAAGCTGGTTTTAAAAGTTAGCTTTCCAAGCCAAGCTCATTCCAGACACCAATAAGCAGAATCAGCAAGGAAAGGGGGATTAGTGACAAAGCAAGAGAAGAAAGCCCATGGCTGAAAAAAAAAAAGCTTTTGTTCCACTCTGTAAAACAGTTATTTGAAAAAGTTATACGCTGCACTTTGAGGACCATTTCCATTAGCAGAAATAGCATTTTATGCTCCTAGTGCTCAGTGACTTTCAAGTACAGTTCCACATCCAGGAGCCTTATAGGTCCCTGAATATCTCGTCCTTTATTCTCTTCTATAAAAATGCCTATTTTTACTCATTTTTTTTTCTCCTCCATTCTACTTCTGAATCCTAGAAACACCTTAACTTAAGGATTCTGGTTTATGCACGTGCATATGTATATGTACAGGCAGGCAAACATATTCCATGTAAAGTTACTGACACCTGGTGCTTCCTCGGAGTACTGCACGGCTCAGTAATAAATGCTGGTAACTGTGTTAATGCAGTTCCCTGCATTAACTGTAAGTTAATGTCAATGCCCAAACCCCAAGCAACTCCAATACCAAACTTTGTGATTTATAGTGATGAGCACCATTAGCTCTGCCTAGGGAAAAAACTGTGACTGAAACATGAGTATCCTTCAAACATAACAAGAGATTGGATTAGGGTAGTTTTTTCATTCTTATCTAGGTAAAACAAAACCAAAAAATAAACTTATCTTAAAAAGGGAAGCCTCCTTACCTGGAGCAAGGATATCTAGGTGTGCGGAGTCCCCATCTGACACAAGAGGCCTCTCCAGCAACACACGTGAGCTATGAAAAAAAGGATTTTCAGAAAAAAAAAAAACAGCACAGAGAAACTAGGCTCTCACAGTAACACATAAGACTGTGTATATTCACTAAATTAAACCAGCTAAGGGTGAAGAAAGCACATAGGGCAAAAATACAACTGAAATAGCTTTTATTAGATAGCTATAGTGAGAGCAACAGCCTTAGAGGAATATAGCCTTGATTTAAAATTCAAGCTTATTTTAAAGAGTACAAGCCAGACAGCTAAGATATTAAATTTAGAAGTTAGGTCCTTAAAAAGAACCGTGATTTCGGTGGTTTTGGGGCACGGGAGAATTTCAACAGGGAGAGCAGCCGTCCCTTCTCACTACTGACGCAGAAGGGCGCAACCAGCGCAGTTACACACACACACGTCCAAGGTGTTGCTGCGGAATCACCCCCAACACACCCAGGGAGGCCGTGCACACCCACCCCAACGCAAC